TAGTTATTATTGTTTAATATGTAAAATATATGAGGTTAAAAATGTTCCCATTTTTTTTATTTCTATATTTTTTGTATTTTATATATTTTTGAATTTTATCATTTAATTGTGGCAACATGGATTGGCCCATTTGACCCAAATGGTTTAATTTCTTACCACCACCTAGATGAAAACACTATTTTTTCTAGGTAGATTTTAAAAGTATAAGTTTTTATGTTATTGAAATTATTAATTTATTATGTATGTATTTAATTATAGAATTTAATAATGAGAAGAAACAAAAAAAGCCTTAAATATATGATTCAATGAATGTGAATGAAAATTTAATACCTTAAATGTTGGATTTAATGAGAGATAATTGAATGCTTTGAATATCTTGAAATGAACTCTTTTCAATTCATTTAATATCAAAAACTAATTACCCTATTTTCCCTCATTTTTATCAATAAATATAAATATAGAGGGATAAATTTTGTTACCACAAAATTCCATATTTGACTTTGTCTTATTTATTTGTGAAAAGTAAAATAGGCAAGTAGCCTCCACTTCAAGGCTGTGTTTGGTTTGAAAGCAAACATAGAGAAAGGTGGGGAAACTTGGCATACTTTTCTATGCCTTTTCTTTCAAACCAAACACAGCCTAAATGGAAGAGAATCAGAGCTGCCCATAGGTCAGATCTGGTCAGAGACAGGGTATACCAGTCCAAAACCAATTATTAATTAGTTCCATATGCTAGACCCAAAACCATCCGGTCTAACCCAATTATATTTGAAATTTATAATTACCTATGAAAATAACAATTCAGAACTTTATTTTTGATAATATAACCTTAATAAAAATAACAATAAAATAGTAAACTGTTTATATGTTAAACAAATGATTTTAACCAAAATTATCTTTTATGCTATCTATGAAATTTACCCTTTTGGACATAAAATGTGATAAAAAATACAATAAAAACAGGAGACCCATATATATTATTTAATAATACAATTGAGTTCAGGTCTGAATTGATTCAAAACAGTAAGACCTAGTCTCAACCCAAATTATTAATTACCATAACTGGTTCGGTGGGTTCAATTCTGTCAGATAGACCCAACCAATTGACAGACCTAAGAGGGTCATCTGTCTAAAAATAAGGGAGAATGCAAGATGATATGATCTCCACTTTAAATGATAAAAAATTGAGGTAGGAGGAAGATGGTGCAAACTTTGCATCAGTTTTTGGGATATAAAATTTATACTGCTAGTAACTGTAAGAGAGACAAAAGGTACAAATTTTATAACAAGTAAAAGTATGGTTTCAAATTTTGACACAATATGCCCAATACAAGGTGTATCATATTGTATCTTTTAATATCCGATACGAGATACAGTGGAAAATTAGTGACATACAAATTTTATAACAAGTATTAGTCGATACGTTACAAAAATATACATACAAAAACCAAAAATAAAAAAATAAAAAGGGAAAAGAAGCTTCTTTCCACTAAAATAAGACTTCAGATCTCCTACCCACAACTTTATCCATGCCTACCCACAAATCGCTACCTCCATGAATTGGGAACATCTCACCATGCATAATAACATGTAAAAGAATGAAATGTTCTCTATGTATGGCTGCAATAATATGTGGGTAGAGTTGCCATGGGTAGGAAATCCATACTCCTGAAATAAGCCTTCTTTCACCNCCTCCCCCCAAGTGTGAATCATTAATGTTTTTGAAGTTTTTCAAGTGTTGAAAAATATTACAAAAATAGGTAAGTTTTTTTTTCAATTTTTCATAATATCTTGTGATTTTTTTTTTTTTGCTTGAATGCTTGAAAATGTTTAAATCTTTTAAATCTATGTTGATTTATATTTCTTATATTCAAAATCACATTTTTTTGTGGTACGAGTAGATCTATGGAAATTTTATGAAGAATATATAGGAAAAATATAAACTAACAAAAATTATTTTGTTTTCTTCTTCAATAATTATTCTTTTATATATTGTACAATGTTTTTTATTTTTTTATAATTTTTGAAAATAAAAAATAAATAGTATTTAAACAAGAAAAAATATATTATTTATATTTTCATTTAGAAGTTATTGCCAATGCATATTTTATGATTGGATAGGCTAGTTAGCTTTTTCCATCCCTTAAGAATTATAATTAAACATATGGTTAATTTTTTAATGAAATTATAATTGATTAAGCTACATTTCTTCATAATTAATGAAACACAAACAATATTGCTCTTGGGAGGAAACACCAATTTATTTGATTCATCTTCTTTTTCTTGCAGATATTTTAACTGCATATTAGAAATATATTCGAAACAGTTACAATGATATTATGTTTTTATTTGATAAAATACAATGATATTATGATACCTTTACAGTTAGAATTTTATTTTTCACAATCCTTCTTCAATTTTGAGTTAGGAAAGCATGCATGTATTATATATGATGTCCTGGTAGGAATTGTTGGGTGCTGGTACAGACCCCACTACCTCAACAATCGAATGAGCGATGGCTGAGCTCCTTTCATCTTAATATTAAATCTCATTTACTCGAGTTGGATTTTTTTGTCTAAGCTTATACCTAGACATGAGAAGAGAGCTGATTTTGAATGATGGTTGTAATGCTGGACTGAGTTAATAAATATTTTGATTTTATCTATATAAAAAAAAAATCACTGTTACTAACAAGCATCTGAACTTATGTGACGTTCTATCAAATACCTGCCACCCATGCTTATGAGTTATGACCTGAGCTAGGTTAAGACTCAAGACTTATGAGCCCAAACATGTGAGTTTAGGAAGGAAAGATCATTCTTAGCCTGGTCTGTAAATTTCTGAGCTTGGGCCTAGTTTTTGTGTCCATCTAAACCAAGCCTCAGCCCAGAATTATATATCTTATATAAGTTCATAGAAATAGAAACTTGGCTCAGCCCATGATTACTCGTATTATTAGGCACGTTTAGGTATGATACCCTTACAATTGGTTTCAAGTAAAAACAAGTTATTTAATTAATTAAGTAAGAATTATATATCTTATTAGGCACGTTTTGGTTAAATTGCTGGTTGCCTCCCAGTTTTGGCTCGTCCCACGATTACTGTTATTAATTAATTCATCATGGCTTTTTAAAGTATTTTAGGTAAATACTGTTATATTCATCTTAATTAACAATATTTTATAGAAATTGAAAACTCTTGAATTAATTTTTATAAAATTGAGAATTAAATTTAACAATTATCAAAAAGTATAAAATTTTAGTTATGGCTACTATTATAGTTAATAATCGAATGCAGATGGGGAATAAAATATTATAATGTTGGAAAATGAAATTATTAATTAATTTATATTAGAATATAAAAGATAAATTAGTGTAATTTTGTTAGTAAGGTACTTAATAAACATAAATATTTAATAGCAATTTAAACTAATTTTCAATAAATCTCCATAATTACACAAATGTAATAAATTTTTCAAAATTTTTCATAAAACTACATTTTCATAAATTAACATTTTGGAAATTAAAAGATATAATATTGTACTTTGGGAAAATTTTTGAAAGTTTATTTAAAATGTATTAAATAATTATTGAAATTATTGGAATATTTTGGAAATTTTATTACATTTGATAGATTTTGGAAAACTGTAATTTGAACCAATAATTACACAAATTATTAAGATAAATTAGTATAATATTGGAAAAAGGAAATTATTGATTAGTTTATATTAGAAAATATAAGATAAATTAGTGTACTTCTATAAAGTAAACCATTTATAAAGAAAATAAATTATTTAATAACAATTTAAAATTAAATTTGAATAAAATTTCCAAAATTTTCATAAAATTACATTTTTGAAAATTAAAGACAAATTATGTGTACTTTTAGAAATTTACCATGTGTCTGATACTCAGTATATCCTTTAGATCATTTTTGTCATCAAATTGAATATTGGGTTGACGGGGGTGCCTTGCCTTGGCCCCGCTCAACACTAGGGATGAAGTGGGGAAATTTGAGAATTCCCCATCCTTGACAAGGAGTGGGTGCCTTGCCCTAAACTCACCTAACACTAAGGACGAGGTGGGAAAATTCAAGGATTCCTCATCCCTAATAGGGAGTGAGTGTCTTGCCTTAAACTAGCCTGACATTGGGAACAGGGCGGGGTGGGGTAAACTGGTAAAGTGCCTTGGCTACGAGGCGGGGACAAGGATGTGGTATCCTTCCCCGAACCCGCTTGACACTAGGGACGGGGCAAGGATGGGGTAGAGTGTCTTGATTACAGGGCAGGGACAGGGATGGGGTGTCCCGTCCTGTTGCCATTCTTATATAATTTTTAATTATTAATGAAACTAAAAAAAATGTCATCTTTTGTAATTATTTTATTTATTTAAAGCCAATAAAAAATATTTAAAAATAATGAAAATAATAATAGTTATTAATATTACTACAAATGATTAATAAAATTAAATTTATTAAAAAATATTTATTCATATTAAATTAACAATAATTATTTTTTGCAAATCAACATTAAATAAAAAATACAATTGTTAAAAGTTTAAATAATAACAATAACTTTGAATATTTTTAATTAATTATTAATTTATTAATTCATTAATTAATAATAAATAAAATTATTCAATCTTTCAGATTTTCCCATACATTACACAGGTCCCCGCTAGTTTCCAATACATGATTGCAAGGGCTGTGAAATAGGTACAGAGAAAATCCGGATTAATGTTGAATTCCTAAATAAATCTTTGAGGGATGAAAAGATATTCGAGACATAACCTAAAGATATTTGAGAATGTGAGCTTGAGTTGTTTAGAATAGGCCTAAAATTAAAGTAGATGATAATAAAAAACAAATCATCAATGATGACGATGATGATTCTTGCATAGGAGTAGGAGGGCTCATTAAGTAGTGGGCTTAATGGAGCCTGAACCACAAAATGTAAACGATACAATTTGAAGACGTTGAACCTTACTTATCAAAGAATGTGGCCCCATTAGACCCACAAACTGTTTCATTCCCTGATTTCCATCTCATTGGTGGTAAACCCTTACACTTCTGACTTCACTGTCACACTCACACTGTTCATAGTACACGCACACGCACCGAGTGGAGAAAGGAAAACCCAGTGATGGCACACGGCAACAGTTGTCCAGCCTACTGCTTCAAATCCTCGATTCACTTTCACCAGTTTGGCTGTGAAACTGTTGTTCTTTTTTAGAGTTAATAGGACCTGAAACCCATTAAAGAATTGAAGCCTGAAAAGCTTCCCGAATCTTTTCATCTTTTCCATCAAATCGCATTCCTCTTCTTCCTCTTTCTATGAAGGAGCCGATTGAAACTTCAAACTTCACTTCCTATATATATTCCACATATTTTGTAACGTATGCCAGAGACCACAACCGCCACCAGTCCACCACCACCAGCGGCAGATTCGCAGAGAAAGACAAATAAAAATAAATAAGAAATCCACAATAATTTTATGAATACATACGACAACCCAAACGTTGTGCAAGTACTTCACCCCCCAAATCCCACCTACGGCCACGTGGATTATCCACCCATTTTGTTTTTAGATGAACATGAAGCCGAATACTACCTCCACCTTATGATTCATCCTCCTTTGACCCCCCCTCCCTCTCTCTTCAGTCTTCACCACCTCCCTTACCATAGCAATTGAAGACCCACAGGCCACATCTGTTTATTATATTAATTCCCCTCTCTCTTTCTCCCTCAAAAAGAAGTAACACAGAGGGTTCTCTCACGACCCACATGACCATCTCTCTCTCCAATCAATCTTTTTGACTTCGTCACTCCAATCTCAAAACCCACCAAGATAATAAATAAGCATAGAAAAGGAGAGAAAGAGAGCCAGTGCTCTGTAGCGGTGGTGGCTATGGCGAGTCTTAACCCACCATCCTATTCTGCTTCGTACAGGCCCTACAACCCTTACTTGAAAAAACCCAGTCTCTTCAAGATGGTCTGCGTCACCTTTCTTTGCTCTGCTGCCTACCTCTTCGGTGTATGGAAACACAGCGGTGGTTCCGACGTCATGACCGCCTCCCCCACCGACTTTCTTGGAACAATCCGATGTGCTCAGATGAAAAACGCCACCCAGCTTCCGACAGCAACTGTGGTTTTAGATTTCTCAACCCACCAAGCGGCGGAAGATACGATCACCCTGCCGCCGCCGAGGGGTCCGAGGTACTTCCCTGCCTGCGATGTCAAGTATAGCGAGTACACACCTTGCGAGGACACGAAGAGGTCCTTGAAGTTTGAACGGGATAGGTTGATCTACAGAGAACGACACTGTCCCCAGAAAGCAGAGCTACTCAAGTGTCGTGTGCCTGCGCCATACGGTTACAAAAGTCCGTTTACGTGGCCGGAGAGTCGCGATTTCGCCTGGTACGCCAACGTGCCACACAAGGAATTGACGGTGGAGAAGGCGGGTCAGAATTGGATTAGATTCGAAGGGGACCGATTTAGATTTCCCGGTGGTGGGACCATGTTTCCCAATGGTGCCGATGCTTATATTGATGAAATCGGCAAGTTGATCAATCTCAGAGATGGGTCTATTAGAACCGCCATTGATACAGGTTGTGGGGTAAGCAAGTATTTAGTTTGTTTGCATATTCGCCTATTTCTTGACTACTACTGAGTCCGGCATATTCACCAACAGACCGAACTGGTCAAAGTGGTGACGGCAAGTTGAAATTCTCGGTGTAGGATGGTTCCAATTTCCAATTCCCTAGAACCTTCTCAGATTATTACCCGACCAGAGCTATTGGCTTCCCCCGGTGTTGCAGTTCCGTGCCGGCCATCTTTGGGTATTGGGTACCCATGATGGTCTTCTTCCTTCTCTCTCTTTCTTCTTTTTCCCTGTTTTTCTTGAATTATTTGATGGCAACTGGATGGTAAGAGAAAGCAATTTTTCGGAATTGAAGAAAAATAGTCGTCTTCTTCTAGAAAAGAATGTAAATAATTTTTTAATAAAAAAATCGGGATATTTGATTAATAAGAATAGATTTAGGATTAGCTGGTGACTGGTCGGGGTCGCTTCACGCTTGGTCAGAATTAGAAGAAACAAACCCCGCTTGTTGATTTACTGGGGAAACCAGAAAACCATGTCCGATGTAACGATGTTCTATTAAAAAAAAATCCTGTACGCCCATTACCCATTTTACCCTCCATCTTTATACTGTTTGTCCTTGGAAAGTGTTCCACGTTTCACCATCATCGGCTCTCCCAAAAAATGGGGTGCCTTTTGATTTGCTGTTTTCTTCTGTAAATGCACTCGGAGCCAAAGACAGTTTTGATCAGGGGGATTTGGCGTTTGGCGATCCCCTGCAGCTGATGAGTGAATTGAAATCCGGTTGGTAATCCTACAGGTTGCAAGCTGGGGAGCTTACCTCCTATCTCGAAACATTTTAGCAATATCGTTTGCGCCGAGGGATACCCATGAAGCGCAGGTGCAATTCGCTCTTGAACGAGGGGTTCCGGCATTGATAGGAGTACTTGCTTCCAAGAGGCTTCCTTACCCGTCAAGGGCGTTCGACATGGCTCACTGTTCTCGCTGCCTCATTCCATGGGGAGTCTATGGTGAATAAGTTGGACCAAAAATTGTTCTCTAGTGTTGGATCTCAATTGATGAAACATGGTTTAGATTTTAACGATTGATTGAATTGAATGAATGCGCAACAGATGGGCTTTACCTAATCGAAGTGGACAGAATTCTTCGCCCAGGTGGGTACTGGATTCTGTCGGGTCCCCCAATCAACTGGAAGCGACACTGGAAGGGATGGCAGAGGACGCAGGAAGATCTCTCCGCCGAACAGTCCGCCATCGAGGCCGTAGCTAAAAGCCTCTGCTGGAAGAAATTGGTAGAGAAAGGTGACATTGCAATCTGGCAAAAACCCACCAATCATATCTACTGTAAGAAGACTCGGAAAGTCTTCAAGCAACCACAGTTCTGCCAGGCGCAGGATCCTGACAGGGCCTGGTAAAAGAAACTGTTGCTCTCTGTCCGTTGTTCTGTAGTTTCTCCACCTTACTCTGTGGCTGAATTTGTGCTTATTGGGCAATGCAGGTACTCTAAGATGGAGACATGCTTAACTCCCCTGCCTGAGGTGTCCGACATAAAAGAAATTGCCGGTGGACAGTTGGAAAAATGGCCGAACAGATTACAGTCAGTCCCGCCTAGGATTAGTAGCGGAAGCCTAGATGGAGTTACAGCAGAGACCTTCAGGGAAGATACAGAGCTCTGGAAGAAGAGAGTAGCTCATTACAAGGCAGTCAGCAATCAGCTAGCTCAGAAGGGAAGGTACCGCAATTTGCTTGATATGAATGCTCACCTGGGAGGGTTTGCTGCTGCTCTCATCGATGATCCGGTGTGGGTCATAAATGTTGTTCCAACAGAGGCGAAGATCAACACACTTGGAGCAATTTACGAGCGTGGATTGATAGGAACATATCAGGACTGGTAAGCTCTCTGCTCTATCGCATATTCCCAGTAATTCAAAGTAAAACTGACGACACGAGATGCAAATGGTGATCTTGTTCCCCTGAATTGAAGGTGTGAAGCCATGTCTACATATCCAAGGACATACGATCTCATTCATGCCGATTCAGTGCTCACACTCTACAAGGACAGGTAAAACCCACATCATCACTTGGAATGCTTTTTTTAACATTTGGATGGTTCATGATCAGTAGTCCTTAATTAATTAGTACTTACAGTCAATGTACTACTACACCGTGTAACACTTACAGATGTGAAATAGAAGATATTCTATTGGAGATGGACAGAATTCTAAGGCCTGAAGGTACTGTAATCTTCAGAGATGATGTTGATATTTTGGTGACAACCAAGAGCATCACGGATGGAATGAACTGGGATAGCCATATTGTGGACCATGAAAAGGGACCCCATCAAAGGGAGAAGCTTTTGTTTGCAGTGAAGAGGTACTGGACGGCTTCAGCCCCTGCCTCGGATCAACAAGACCCCAAAACGGTTTCTTAACACCATTTTGTCGTCTTATTCTGTATTTCTTGTCTCAATTGTTTTCCTTAATTTATTTCTGATTGGTTCACTACTGATTAATTCTTTCAATATGTACGATTTATTTAAGCCTCTTTTTGCTTAGGTTATAAGATTGTTGAATAAATACGGATGCTTACTCCCAACAGGGAATTCAACGACGTGGTCCAACCTCACCAAATCAAGGGGACTACCTTTTAATTTTTAGTGATTGATTGGTCTTGATTTTCTGAAAACATCCATATATATACCGATTTCAGTTCAGTGGTGTTGCTTTTCATACAGCGTACGTAATATGGCAAGGCCGGTGACCATTGAATCTGCTTCTGCATAAAAAAAAAAAGGTCCCATGACACCCACTATTGGATTGAAACTAGCTAGCTAGAGCCTAGAGGAAAGAAAGTCAGAGATTGCTGGTGAAATGTGGGAGAGCTGTTGCTTTCCAAGTGTTCATGCAAAAGCTAGCAAAACCCAACTAATACAATCTATTTTCAATTGCCTATATCCAAGGTCTAAGGTCATCTTGATGGTTATTATAAAAGTTAACACACGCTTCATTGTCCAATGTCACAGCGTATTTGTCTATTTGATGATGAATTAAGGTAGATGAACTCAGACGCAACATATTTGATATCTCAACTTTGGTGGCCATGACAATTTTTCAGTGGGGCGGTGCATGCAGCAGATTTGTAGTGGTAATTTGGACGACCCAAGAACAAAATTATATACATGAACCCGACTTTTTCCCATAGATGGTGGTCAGAGTGCATATGACTTCAATTCATTATCAATATCTCTAAGGGCTAGGGCCATATATTTTATTCTTCTTAATTGGCAGATTTTAGAGTTCCATCCATCATATAGGGGGAGATCTACTATACTAGATCAAATGGATATCTTGATAATTCAATGATCAATGCAACATTCTAGCTGGATCAGACGGTTGGGAATTAAGAATAGCTAGATAGAGACCAAGACCAAGCAGGAGTAGCCCCACATCGATCATCACTTGATCAGGCCTCCTCCTGCAACTGCAAGTTAGTTGGTTCATTTGATTGGGTGGGGTTAAAGAAGTAGGTAGTAGAGTGTGTAGGTAAGTCATGCCAAAGATGACAATAATTGATTGTGCATGGGGCAGTTTGAATCATCCAAATTAACTTGCCGTTGCCTACCTCCTACCCTATAAGTAGTAAGTAGGGAAGGGGCTACAAGTTCAACCTTCCTGGCCTGACGGACATACCAAAAAAAGCAGTTAATCGACGACAGAGGTAGGAGTGAGTACATGGGTGGCGTCAAGTGTCTGGTCTGTCTAGGCTCACGAGCTGCAATGCTGCTGTTGCTCATGGCTCTGGCGTCCCAGACCCAGATGGGCCGATCCCAAAACTGCGCCAACGAGCTCAGTAACCTTACTGCGTGTGCACCCTTCGTTGTGCCGGTGCCGCGCACGTCGCCACCTACACCTAGCGTTGAATGCTGCAACGCCCTCCACGGAGTTGACCAGAACTGCCTCTGCACCACTCTCCAAATTATTTCTCGTTTACCTGCTCAATGCAATCTCTCACCCGTGACTTGTCGTAAGTATTTTCAGGCTTTCAGAGAGTATATTTATTGTATGATCGATGATGGGTCCAAAATCTCCAGACTACAAGTTTTTTATTTGATAAAATAGAACATATTCAAGTTGACTAACTTTA